AGATGAGAGGATGGCAAAGGAAACACTGGTAAGGCAATCTGAGGTACCCAGAAATGTCATCAAAGGGAAGGAAGATTTACCTAGGCCATTATTTCATGGCTTACTTGAATGAAGGGGATCTGGAATGGAAATGCATTTGGGCATTTGGACTCTTTGACAGGGGGTGGGTACATGATCCTGTCAAGACTAAAGATACAAACCTGTTTGGCACATGAATTTACCTTTTTTGATACTCATAATCAGATGTGATCCAATAATGGCTAGGTTAAGATTGCATCAAGAACTTGAATAGCTGTCAAACAAGTCTGCAGCCTCCTCTTTGTCAGAAGGCAACTCATAGCTACATAACAGTTTTGCAAAAGGGAGCTCTTCCCTCCCCTCCAAGCTGGAAGGGGACAGAAGCAATGCTTTTCATCCCAGAATTGCAAAAAAGAGAGGAGAATACAGTCCTACCAGGCGGCAACCCTTGTGGTTGCTTTGGAATGGAGGGCCTCCATCCTTTGCCTCCATGGAAAGAGCAAGAGACTGGTCAGGCACTTCCCGCCCATATGGGTATTTTCAGGGGGCAGAGGCTTGGTTTAATTTGCTGTACCTGCACCTCTACTGGACAGTCTTCACATTTCGATCGGCCTACCCTCCCTTCTTTCTACAGTGTGGGCTTTTGCTGGTCACCAACTTTGGGGCTGGGTAGGAATTTTTCACCCCCTCTCAGATTGGCCTGGAGATGGGGTGTTTTTGCCTACCTCACACTGTATGCTGTGGTTGGGTAACTGGTTGAGTGATGATGCCTTTAATTAGGTTTCCCTTTGCGGGAATCTGGCTGATTTGGTTAGGGTGGTAAGCACCAGCAGGCAGACCCACCCTTGATTGGGGGGTGGACACATTTGGCAGGAACCATCCATTTGCAGGAGCCTTGGAAGGGAATGCAAATGGCCTGCAATGCCTCTTGGATTCCGCCTCCTCTGAAGTTCTGTGGTTTGAGGAGGCTGGCTTCCTTTCAAAGGGTTATTCACATGTCCTGCTGCCTGGCAACAGCCATGTTATCATTGACTTGTGCCAGGGACTGAGTGGCTCACCCTTTTCTGCCCAGGAAAGGGACTGGGGCATATCCCTTTTGCCTTAGCCTATATTTTTAGTTGGCCCCTGACGAGTTACAGTTCATTCTGCAGAACTGGTTTGAGTTTTTAAATATGCAAAACAGGGGATATTAAAAAAAAAGAAACATTCCATTTTACATGAAATTTTATTAAGGGACTTGACTAGATGTGATGGCATCCCTATGTCTATTATGAGGATGCTGGCATGCCACCACCATTTTAAGGCTTGGATTTTCTGATTTTAAAAATGCTGTGACAGTCGATCTGACAACACCCTGGCTGGGTGGAGGCCTAGATGGGCTTTCTCGAGCTGGGTAGGCTTGAAAATGGTGTGGGAGGGGAGACAGGAACCCTGGTGGCAGCAGAGGTGAGGAGTGGTGCTTGCCAGGCAACCGAAACAGCCTTGATGAAGACGGAGCAGCCAGGACAGATACAGGGAGTCTCCATCGCTTGGTGATCAGTACCTCAACTTTTTCTTCCGCTGGGGCTCCTCTCTCACCCCCCACACCATTTTCAAATATCTTGGATCTCCTTCCAGCTAGGGCTGCCATCAGATAGGCTGTCAGACATGGGGTGATAAGTGGCTGCATCCACTGAACCAATTAAGAGTATTTTTACATCAACTGAGGCTGTCACATTTGCTTCAATGCTGAACGCTCCTGCTCATCCACAAGTTTATCACTTGTATTGAGGAAATTCCCCAGATATCGTGAATGTGTCCCCCTCCCGATTTTATTTTTGCTGCTATTTCGACTCATTAAGCTATTGATTGTATTTTAAATTTTAAATTTTAATTAATTTAAAAAAAATGTATTTGTAGAGACTTGGTCCCAGAAGATCTCTGTATTATATTTTGTTTTGCCTTTTGTACAGAGGTAGGGTTGTCAAGTGTACTTACCTTTGGCAGCGGGGGAGTCTTGCCGGGCTCTGGGAGCTCCTCCAGGACGCGTGCCCGCGCTTTGCACATGCGCGCCACCAGCACGTCACAGGAAGTGACGTGCTACGT